TTTTAATTCACTCATGAATGTAATATCTAGTGACAAGGGTGTAAACAGAAAGGTAAAAGTATATAAATGTGTAAGATGATAATTTGAACACTTTCCTTTTAAATTCCTTATCCCCTAGGAATTAATGTAATATTTGAAATAAATTCTGAAATGATTCCCTAGATGATTTAACATCCGGAAACTTGCTTGTAGGTTCATAAGTGGCAGAAAGACTGTGGCCCCAAAGGAGTTCATCTCTCTGAATGTAGAATTTAGACCCTACACCAGGAATCCACAAACAGTTGCCCTCTAGTATTCACAGACATAGTATATACACCTTGGACCATTTCCAAACTCAAAGATCCAGACCTGCTAGGGATTTTGAGTTTTGCCAAAGCATTATACCATATTAAGAGGCTAACATAGTACATCATGGTGACTATAGTTAATAATGATATGTTGCATACTTGAAAATTGCTGAGAGAGTAGATTTTGTGTTCTCACTACAAAAAGAAAGGTAAGTAGCTGAGGTAATGCATATGCTAAATAATTTCATTTAACCATTCTACAATGTATACAGATATTAAAACATGCTGTACACCATAAATATGTACAATTTTTACATGTCAACTAAATTTTTACTTTTTATTAAAAAAGGCTAATATGCGGTGACTGCAGCTAATGAATAAACATCCAATAGGTCCAGCATTCCCATGTCAAGTGTCCTCTGCCTGTCATCATTTATACAATAATTCTCATGAAATGCTAGATAGAATGGGATATATCACTCAAGAATACCACAGATGATCACCCTTAAGATCTTATAAGATGGGCAGCGAGCACAACTTCCATTCTTAACTCTTGCCTGGCTGATCACAAATCATATCCCAGCTCAGGTCCAGGGACCTACTTGCTTCCTTACAAACAAGGAGACCCTGGTTCTAAGACTTTTGCTGAGAGCAGAAATAATCTTCCCCATCCTCCTGCTCCTTAAACAAGAGAAGATTTAGGGCAATTGTCTAAAAGGAAACAGCATACCGGAAATACAATTCCTGGGTTAAAGCAAGCAAAGCTGCTTTCCTAATGACTCCCATTTTCTATGCATACCCTGGGTCCAGCATCCCATCTTCCAGGTGTGGTTAGAAAAGAGATCAGACCTTAGTGACTGCTGGTGAAGTGAATTGCATGCTGCAGTCCCTCATCAGCATCTTTGTACAGCTCAGTTTCAGGTTTTCTGGAGAATCAGGAGCTGACAATCAAAATGGCCCCTCACTCACACTCATTGGTCAGATTGGGCTTGTGATAACAATTTAGACTAATCACTGACAAGCAGGGATGGGGAGCACTGAAGTCGGCTATTGGCTGTGTCCAGGAGCAGTCAAGCATTCTGCCACTGGATGCTGCTTTTGTAATCTTGTCATATAAAGCACTATGATGTTCTTTTGTTTTCCTTGGATTGGCTGAAGGGCTGGTGAGAAGCAGGAAGTATTCTGCCATGGGAAGTCTACTGACCTGCAAAAATTTATCAAAATACACAGAAGCAGGAATGGAAGGTAGAAAAATTACAAACTGTGATGATCAGCTCCAAGAGCATGTAGGGGTAAAGGAGGTAATACCTCTCCTCACTCATTGTAAGAGTCATGGCTGACACTCCTATAACAAAAGACAAGTTAACAAGAGAAAAGCGAAACAAATTTACTTAATCAAAGTTTTATGTGATATGAGAGCCTTCAGAAATGAAGACCCAAAGATCCAGGGAAAACTGTTTTTGTGCTTAGGTTCCATGAAGAACCTAAGGGCAGCTGTGTAGATATGTTTGGACAAGAGTATGATCTTATGGTTATAGACTGGGGGTGAAGGAGGGAGTGTGTTCAAATTCTTCTTAGACTCTCTGTGTAGCATTTCTTCTTTGCAAGTATGGAGCAGGATTCCTCTGGAATAAGGGTCTTCAAATGAGAAGGGAGAAGGGAGAGAGTGACCTTCCTAAGTTTTATGGCTTGCTTTGGGGAGAGGGCTTCTGGTTTCTATGATCTGTCTTGTGGAAGAGGAATTCTAGTTTCCATGGTTCACTCCAGGGGAGAAAGAAGCATGAAAGACAGAAGGGCAGGAGGAAGTCAAAGAGATCTTTCTTCGGAGGCCCTTCCAATATCTTTCAGTTCAAAGTACTCAGCACACCAAGGCACTATACTTTGGGTATCATGTTCTGAGAGCCAACAGTTACAATGAGAGCAGTCACTGAGGGAGGGAGTTTTCAACTGACTTAGAGGAGCAGGGCCTGACCCTAGCAAGCATTCCTGGGGCTTCCCGATTGCCGTATAGGGCAGTACTTATGTGTGGGACAGTGATATGAGGAGCTACACTCAGGAAACTTCCTGATCTCAATTTTTATTATGATTTGTTTCTGATTTGGCATCTTCCTAACTGAATTAAAGAACTTATATCAATTTCTAGCTTAATTCAGCCAGGAGTTAGTCCAAGTATCATTTGACAAATTTTATTAATCTTTTGAAAGTGTCTTGGCCTTGGGTTTAGACCTATTTCAACCTCATCTCCACTACTTAGGATCTCTACAGTGTTGGGAAAAATCACTTAAACTCTGTGACCCTAAGACATTCCTATAGAAAACCTAGGAATAATAAATTATACCTCACAGAAGATTAAATGTGTTTCCTTACAAGCATTATGGTAGACCGGATACACACAGAACAAAAAGCCTGTGTAGCACAATGAAAAATGCTATATAATCTGCAAAACATATTTTTTAAATGCATAACTGCATTTAAAAGAGAGTAAGGAATTCCCTGAAGTCCAGAAATGTCAGGAAAGTGAAAATCCACCAGAATAAGCATGTGTGCATTTGTGTTGGTGATCTACATCACTTTCTGGTGGCCTACCTTACATTATGAAGGAGACGGAAGACCAAGTCTGGGGCCTGCACATGGTACATTGTATCATAGAACTCACATAAAATCAGGACCCAATCAGAGGTTAAACTGGAGAACAAACTCCTTGCAGACCTAAATGATGGCGCTACACATGCCTGTTTTTGGCTTTGGCCCTAAGTAAAGCAGGGAGGAAAAAAGTCATTGATAATTTCTAATCTTAAGCAGAGAAGCATGATTGTGTCAGTCTGAAATTCTCCCTATGTGGCAAAAAAAAAAAAAAAAAAAAAACTCAGGTAGAAAATTTCATTTTAAGCAATTCTGGCTTGGTAATGCTCCCATGCACCTAACAAAAACAAATAAAAACACCCCTCAAAAGGAAATACTTCTTACATAGCTCCCAAAGAATTTTCAAGTTTGATAAAGTTCCAAGGAATATTAGGTCATAATACAAAATCAAAGAATACACACAAATAAATAAGCCACAATGTGCAAAAGTTACCAGATAGTAAACTATAAGCCAGAGCAACAAAACTGCAGATATTGCAATTGAATATAGAATATAAAAGAATGTATTTAGTACATTTTGGGAGGCCGAGGCAGGTGTATCACTGAGGTCAGGAGTTAGACACCAGCCTGACCAGATGGTAGAATCCAGTTTCTACTAAAAATACAAAAATTAGCCAGGCGTGGTGGCATGCATCTGTAATCCCAGTCACTTGGGAGGCTAAGGCAGAAGAATGTCTTAAATCTAGGAGATGGAGGTTGCAGTGAACTGAGATCACACCACTGCACTCCAGCCTGGGCAACAGAGTAACTCTATCTCAAAAAAAAAAAAAAAAAAAAAAAAAGTATTAATGTATTTAGTAAATTTCAAGATAAAGAAAGAAAAAATTAAGTTTTAACAAAGGAACAGGCTAGGCGTGGTGGCTCACGCCTGTAATCCCAGCACTTTGGGAAGCCGAGGTGAGCAGATTGCCCGAGGTCAGGAGTTCAAGATCAGTCTTGTCAACATGGTGAAAACCCGTCTCCACTAAAAATACAAAATTATCCAGGTGTGGTGATGGGTGCTTGTAATCCCAGCTACTTGGGAGGCTGAGGCAGGAGAGTCTCTTGAACACAGAAGACAGAAGTTGCAGTGAGCTGAGATCGTGCCACTGCACTCCAGCCTGGGTGACAGGTCAAGACTCTGTCTCAAAAAAAAAAATAAAAAAAAAAAATAAGCGAGACTCCATCTCAAAAAAAAAATAAAATAAATAAATAAATAAATAAAGGAGCAATAGTGTATTAAATTTGATTAGGCATATTTGCAGAAGAACCAAACAAAACTTGGAAATAAAAAAACTAACATAATAGAAATTAAAAACTCAAAGGATTTGTTGAAAAGTAGTTTATACATAGCTGAAAAGCATTTATTGATTTAGAAGACAGATTTGAAGAAACTACTCAGAATGCAGCACAGAAAAACAATGAGATGGAAAATCGACAGAGATATTCAGGGATGTGAGGAAGTGAGGAACAACAAAGTGTTCCTTTTGTTGTTCCTCACTTTAACAACAAAGTGAGGAAGTTAAAATGCACGTGATCTGAGTTGCAGAAGGACAAATAAAAGAGAATGGAGGAAAGGCAATAGTTGAAGAGACGATGACCGAAATTTTCGGAACTAATGAAAAATGCTAATCCTCAAATACATGAATTCCAACAAGATCACCCAAGCAGATGTCATCTAAAAACATAGTGGTACCATTTAAGTGCCTTTGAGGCAGAAAGATTTTTAAAACCACAAAAAAACAAAAGAAATATCTCTGAAGGAATTGGTATTAGGTTAAGCTTGGACTTCTCAATAGCAACCAAAACACAGTGGGAAACAGTTTCAAAAGGCCAAGAGAAAATAATTGTCAGCCTAAAATTTGACTTTTTATCCCTTTTTATTTGAAATGATTTTAGACTTAAAGTTGTAAAAATGGTGCCCAGAGTTCCCATATACCCTTTACGCAGCTTCCCATCATGTTAACACCTTACATAACCATAGAATAATCTTTTAGACAGGAAACTAACATTGACAATATATAATCAATTAATCTACAAGTCTTGTTCAAATTTTACCAATTGTACCACTAATATTTTTCTTCTAGTTCAACATCCAACCTGGGATCTTCCCCAAAATGACCTTTGTTCACAATGTCATAATTCACCTTGCAACACAAGTTCTGCTCAACCAGAGTTTGATGAATAAAATGATTTTCTCTTTGCCAGTGTCCCCTTATATGAATATCTCATAAAGCATAAAGGTCAGGGTGGTTCCTGTTAGAATATTCCCTTCCCTTGATTCCCTGACAAATATCATTACACAACCCTCCTGAGCTCCCTCACGATTATAAAGGGAAAGACATTGACTCCAGTCTGATGTAATAAACAGAAGAGTTTTTGATGACCTTGTACCTCTTTTCTTCTGATTTCTGTGGAACATACTGGCAACAAAATCCTGAACCAAGATCCACCAGGGGATGGACAGTTGTCCTAGGTATGCCCAAGAATTATGCAACATCCCCAGCCACGTGCAGGATGGTTGAGGAATCTGGGGGCAGCTATTGTGTGGAAGGAAAGTCTTACTAAGGGAAATCCTCATAGGAAATTGCATAGGTTGGAGAAAGAGTCACACTCAGTCAACCTTAGCCTGTCTTTTCTCTCCTTTGGTCTAATCAGAGGTAGCTGTTATCTTCTAATAGCCTGCTGCTTTGTTTTTTTTCTAATGAGAATTCTAGGAAGTTGTCATCAGGGTCTCCAAGACTACCCCTGGATTTGATGATTCACCAGAAAGATGAGCAGGATTCAACATATGGTCATACTCACAGCTAAGACTTGTAACAAAAGTATACAGAGCAAAATTAGCACAGACAAAAAGTGTATGGGGCCAAGTCTAAAGAAAATCAGGTATAGGTTTCCAAGAGTGCTGGTAGAGTCATCAGGTTTTGCTTAATTCCTCCAGCATCAAATTGTGACAACACATGTGAAGCCAGTTAGACTGTGTGCCCAAGGGTTTTACTGGGGACTGATCATGTACACACCCTCTGCCTAGCATGTACCAAAATTCCAGGCTTCGAGAAGGAAAGCAAGTGTTAGCATAAACTCCATCATTTGCATAAACAGTCTTAGCATAGTAAGCCACCCATATCAGCTATAGAATAGCTAGAAGACTCCAAAAATCCAAGTTCCCTGATGTTAGCCAAGGGCCAGCCTTTCAAGCAAGTCTTTCTAAAGGTAACAGTCTCAAACTTGCCCTGCTAACTCTGCATGGTCCATCTCCTTAGTCCTTAGCAAGGCAAAATATAGTAAAAGTATTATTTGTAGGATCTCTGTCAGGATTGATCCCAGTTTTTTCCAATACACTCAGTATTTATCCTCTTTTAAGGATCCTGAATTTAGCCAGCTTAAACAAATCTGCTTAATTATAAAGGTCTATCTTAGAAGTCCAGGTAGCTTCCTCTGTACATGTCTATATTGAACTTTTTACCTGGTGGCACATCACAACTCAGGCCAGGAAAGTAAAGTGGACCTGAACATCTTCCTGGGCTGAGACAGTGTCATGATAATCAGGTACACACAGACACAAAGCACAATCCCAGAGGACATGCATGGCAGCCCAAGCAGGACATGCCTTAGGCAGTACAGGTTAACAACCCCCACCAAGCGGCCTTCCATGCAGCCTTCCACGGTGGGGCCTACCACCATAAGGTTTCCATTCCAGTCCAAAAAATTCACTGAAGTCCTTGGTTTCAGAGGAACTGCCTTCAAGCTATCAGTTCCAAACACAGGAGTGAGGATGACACCTGAGGTTTTCTGGATGAGAAGTTCCGGAGTGGATCCCCACCTCCACCCCCAGTGTTGTCTGGTGTGCTCAGAGACTCGGCAGTCTGAATTCAAAGCATTAAGTAGGAGTTTGGAAAGACAGCGTGGGAAGATTTCTGTCAGACAGAATGGAAAGCTTCCAGGAACAGTTCTGAAAAACAAAAAGATTGTTAATGACTTCTTCTCCTTTATGCCTCCCTGGGGGTCTGAGTTTCTATTTTTTTCATTGCTATGAAAAAGTCAGAGGTCCTATTCAGCAATCATATCATATTTTTAAAAATTATATCTCATTCTCATGCAGATTTTTCAACTGGAAAAAGTGTATACAAAAAGGACAAAAAGACTTTCACCAAAAAACATTTGCATGCAATTTAAGCATAAAGAGATATCATGCTCATATTGTCTGTTACTGAACCAAACTGGGGTCCACTTGCCCAGCCCAGCAAAGCTAAACACCCACACTGGGATTTTGCAACAAGAGAAAGGAGGGCATTTGTTTGCAGGTTCCCACACAAGGAGAATCATGCAACTCACACTGAAGACCCTATTTTTAGTTTCTATAGAGAACCAAACATCACCTGACTCTAACTTCCTTGGTTATTGTTTTAAGCTATTATTACCTTCTTGTTTATCAGCTTGCAAACTTACTTCTTAGGGCCAGCTAGGGCCTGGAATTTCCCTTGAAGGAACTTGAGATTTTCCTTTATTTCCATACTTGCGTGGGGGTCCTGGCAGGCCACTAAGAAGGAGTCCCTGCTCCGTCTTATGTCCAGAATGAAATCCTGAATTTTCAAAAACTTAAAAAATTGGCTAGCATAAACTCCCACCTCTTTCATCCAAATTATACAGTGAGCCTAGAAATTAATAATCCTTTTCTGGGGTCAATTGCATTTAATAATCAAACTCTGAAGGTCAGGAAATGCCATCCCAAAATATACCGCTTTGGACTTAAAACTGAAGGTGCTTGAGAAACAGCAAATGCAAGACAGGACTTTCTCTGAGCTCCCTTTATCTGCATAAAGATAGACCCTCCAAAAGGAATTCAGATGTCATGAATCCCTTCCCAGGGAATCTTATCAACCAGGGAAGATTAAATTCGGATCACTGGAGAGGATACTGGAGGCTGACCCCGTGTCCAGACAGACTTTGTCACAGGCTGTCACATATTCTTCTGAGGGCTCATTCATTTTTCACCAAAACAATTTACTCCCGCTAAGTTGCCTACATCTCCCCTCCCCTCTCCTTTAAGAAGAGGGTACATAGCTTCTAGATCTCCCTGGGTTTGGGGCATTAACTTTCCTTTCGTATCATGCCCCATGCACATAATGAGTTTGTACACCTTTTGTCCTGTTAATCTGCCAGTTTTCAGTTTATTTCATAGATTCAATTATCAAGCCCTCAAAAGGTATAGGGGAAAATCTGTCCTTCCCCCACCTTACTAAGGTGTGTGTGTGTTAAAACAAAGGTGAAGGATGCAGATTCAGGCTGTCAGTCTATTTTCACAGATTGAAACTAATTGGGAAAGTTGAAAACAGCAAGTTTTTCAAGATGGGAAGAGTCCAATCTGTCAGGAGTGGGTGGAGGGGTCACACTCCCTGTGATGTGTCCTCCTCCAACTTACAGCTTTCAATGGGGATTATAAATCAGAAATGCAGTTAGCCTCTGTATCACGAAGGGGCTCGGACTATGCCACCCCAAAACATGCCATTTTGACATAAGAATTATTTTGAGCTAAAGGGAATTGAAAAAAAGCAGACACAGGATGAGCTGTCTGCCCTACTTCTATCTGCCTGAAAGCAGAACATAAATGTCTCTTGCGATGGTATCCCCAACCCCTAATTCCATTCAAGAAAGGGGATAACAACCTTATCACTGGACAAAGTCTACACAAACAAATCTTAATAACTAGCCCTCATCTACCATTAGTTCCCCCAAATATTTGTCTTTGCACAATCTGACACCCTCAAACTCAAAGCTCCTTCTTTTTTATCTGGCCACTTCTCTAAAAATGTATGTTAAGATGCTCAATAAGCCCCAATTTCTAGCCACTTCTTTCACTTGCTCATCACTGAGTTCTCCAGTGTGTATACACTACGTATGTGTTAATAAACATCTGCCTGTTTTTCTCTTGTTAATCTGTCTCATGTCAGTCTAATTTGCAGTGTTGTGGAATCTTTATGGAATTAGAAAGAATGATGGGGTTCAGGAGGATATGATATTTATTAATTATTTAGGTGCACCAGCCCAGTCGGATTAACATCTAAAGGACTGAGCCCTGAACAAAGAGTGAAGTTATCTTTTAAGCATTTCTTGGGTGGGGGGGAGATCTGTGCAGGGGGAAGCATACTACAGAAGAGAGAAACAAAGGCAGTTATTCAATTGAGACAAGCATTATATCATTTCTTACTTTTTAAGGAAAAGCATGTTTTGCGACTTGAGTTTATCTGTCTAGTGACCTTGCTGCTGCACAGCTAAGGAAACAGGGTCTTCACAAGACCTGGGAAGGGAGGAGAGATAAGGCTCACTAGCCACAGGAAAACAGGCAGTTAATTTTTTAAAGGACTCCAGTTCTTTCTGTTTCTCAGGGGGATTTTCTTACATACAACGGAGTTGTTGCTTACACACTCTTTAATTTCTTTTAATTCCTGTTTCAATAGGGCCCCAACCTACGAACGTAAGATAGGAAGAGGAAATCATGTTTGCTGAGCCAGGCACAGTGGCTCACGCCTGTAATCCCAGAACTTTGGGAGGCTGAGGTGGGCAGATCACTTGAGCCCAGGAGTTTGAGACCAGCCTGGGCACCATGACAAAACCATGTATCTATAAAAAATACAAAAATACAAAAATTAGCGAGGTGTGGTGGCACATGCCTGTAGTCCCAGCTACTCAGGAGGCTGAGGTAGGAAGATGGCTTGAGCCCAGGAAGTCGAAGCTACAGTCAGCTGTGATCGTGCCACTGCACTCCAGCCTGGGGAACAGAGCAGAAATCCTGTCTCAATAAAAATCTTTAATGCACAGAATGTTTTTTCCTCTTCTACAATCACAAATATGCAATCAGCAACTGAATTTCAGATGGCCTAATCAGAGAGAAATCCAAATAGTCCAGAAAAATCCAAAAAGTATCCATGATGATTTGATAAATGAGGGCTCCACAGAGCAGTGATTTGCAAGGATCCCAGAATCGGAGTTCTGTCCACTGAGCCTATGTCTGCTTTCAGTTCAGCACAGCACAAACTAAGGCTGAAACGACCTAACAGCAGGCAGCCACAGGTTTCAGCTTAAAGTCAGAACAGGCAATTAGAATATGTGAATTCTGGATTTCAAAGGAGCCAGCTGCTTTTCTTCCTACAGCAACAAAACCGAGATACTTTAGGGTCAGAGAGCCATGGTCCAAGTCCAAGGGACAAAAAATGCTTTCCCAGGCCCTTTTTATTTTGTCAGGCTTAGAGTTTTAATTGACCTACTCAAAAAATATGCACATCAGCCTGGAAAATCATCAGCCTTAAATAGTCTGACATCTGACATCACAAGGTCTCTCTAGCAACTACAAGTTAATTTTTCAAACTCAGTGTGTCTCCATCTGGAGACAACCTCTGAGAAATAAAAATAAAATCCTAAGCCCCATGAGAGCTTAGGATTTTTCCATATCCCCTCTTGGCCACGGGGATCCCAGTGAAACCTTAAGAACTGAGTGCCCGATCATGATGGGATGAAAAGTCAGACACACCCCTTCCTTATTAATCTTTAATCAGAATTCTTTCCTAAGGAGTAAGCAGAAAGCTTCTTTGGAAAACAAGAAACAGAGGACACATTCCTTTATTGCCTTTAGCCAATCATCTGAGGCCACCGCTCAACTCCCCATCCCTCTTTGCAGTTTCATCGTGACAGCTGGCCAGTTTCACAACGCAACCCTTTCTAAAAACTGACCTCTATTCCCAGACCAGTTTTGGCCCAATCACAGAGGAAGGGCAGTGTGGGTTTTCATGTCCTGTACTTCACCTTTTGATAAGAGAAGGCCAAAAACTCCACCCATGGATCACGCTAACACCACCATCTTTTGTACATACGATTCATGAAAAGGCACAAGGCTCAATGCACATGTGCATATTTTCCCTTTCATGAATATTCATGACTCCTCCTATAGTTTATCAAATATGTATATTTGGACACCTCATTCAGCAAAAATTTTTGTCTTAGTATTCCCTCCCACAAAGTGCCTGTGGCTTCTGGTTGGAGGCTATGCTTTCCAGCTTATCAGAACGGCTAGCTTTGTAACTGCCCGAGGGTTTTTTCCCCGCCCACTGCACAAAGACCATGGCGTTGTGGTAGAGAAAATTTTAATAGACACGTGAAAGGAAAATAAATCTTGGGACCCCTAAATCACTAAGCCAAAGGGAAAAGTCAAGCTGGGAACTGCATCAGGCAAACCTGCTCCCATTTTATTCCTAAATAAGATAGCTACAAAGATTTAAAAAAAAAAAAAAGAAAAAGCTACATACCTCCTTCACAATTTGCCCACAAGGAAATTCCTTGTGGGCCTCAAGATCTTTACCCTATAAACAGTTCTGTTGAATTTTACCCTAGCAACATAAACTGACAGCTTGTCTTTACCAGCACGGGACAGAAAGTCATAACTCTGCTTGCCTGAGACAAATGCCTATCTGGTTGCTTCCTCTGCCCTATGGTTCACGTAAAACTGCAGATTCACTGAGACAGACTAAGGCATAAATTGTTAGAGTAGGTAGTTAGTCAGACATGAACAGGGCAGGAGAGGAGACCCCTCTCCTACCAGGCAACCATCAGGTGATGGTCAGGCAGTTGTTAAACTGTCCCCAAAATGATCATTGGTTGAAGCTAATGCCAGGCAAGGGCCATCTCCGGGTAGAAATACCTGAAATTGGTAATCAGCAATTTCCAAGTAAGATCTCAGGAGTTGGGCAAGTGGGCTCAAGCATGTGCACTAAGAGGTAAAATGGCAGAGTTGAACTGGTATATGAACTTCCTCTAGGAACACTCAACTGGTAGGGAAACAATGCCTCAAGTGAGCATGTGCACAATTTCAGTAAATACGCTGAGCATGCAGCCCCTCCCAAGTGCTGGCAGACCGCTGCACACATGGACTGCTCAACCCAAGGGAAGAAACAGGGGAGA